GAGAAGATATGGATGCGCAGATCAGGACTTGTCAGCAAAAATTTAGCTCACTGGTCGGTTCAAAACTTAGAAAAAAGATTTGGAGTCAGAATTTTACACTGAGTAATCGGACGGTACGCAGCTCAAGAGACTATTGCTACTTTTGACCATTCCTTTGTTAGTGGATAGGGAGAAGGTTTTTCTGGGATGTGCATGAGCTTCTGCATGAGCAGTGATGCTTGTGCTAATCCATAACGCTCAGTTCAATTTGAAATACATCTATCAGACTTCTAAAATGAGCTTAAGAGAGTAAATATGGAGAATCGGCACAAAGCTCTTTTCCATTTCAGTTCAAATCATGCATTATAGGAGCTTCTGAACGATGCTGAAATTTCACGCGGAAATGAAACGGACTATTCTGTAAAAAGAACTCATGGAATTGAACGCTTTCTTTAGAACTTCAACGGGTAGTTGTGTATCATTGTGTATCGAGCATAAAGCGCAAAAATATATGTTATACAAGAGTCCCAAATTTTGTTCAGTGAATTCGATTCTTATTCATCTCTAATATTTTTCAAGTGTCTTGTTCTATAAGACTCATGCCAATAAAATCTTTCAAAAATACCTGTAATTATCAAATCTTCCAACTTTTGAACCGTCGCAACTTCGTATACTGCGAATCCACACCGGCACCTTTCACTGCGGAAAACACAATTTATTGCAATCTACGCCATATAATCTCTTAGATTCTTAAAACCCTGGAGATTGGATTACCAGGACGCAGTTTTTTGCAAAACTTCAAACAGATACATGTGAAAGTGTGGTCGAGTTAGTGACAGAATTTTCAGTTCTTAGAGCTTGGAGAGAAGAATTTACTGGCCTAAGGTCAGCCCGTAAATTTTACCGTAGTCCTATGCTAACCACTCGATCAATCTTTCACGTTTATTATAGTCAAACTCCTCCTCAAAGTGATATCCATAGATATATTAGAGATGCTTGAGGTGGAGTTGCTAAAGATTAGGCAAGCACTGTGTATAACAAGGCTATACGCTGTAAAAATTTTAAAGCACCAGATCTTTACACAGGTGCTTTCCACTTTCACTGGAAAGCACAGTTACGCGCATACTGGCATGCCTGAGCTCTCCACATCCAAACAAACTATGTTGCAAGTCTCAAAGACTTACAAGGGAAGGAAGGTGGGTCGAAGTGGCCTTTCAGAATGAGGTAGGTACCATCTTGTAGGGCTTCAAACGCTGATTTCAAATCTGCCTTCCTTATCTGCGGCGCTTTTTTGGGCGAGGAGTTTTGAGGGTTTTTAGGGGGGCGGAAGTTGATACAAGTACAATCAAGGACAGCACACCGATGTGTGCCGTCTGGTGTAATGGTTAGTGTGTTGGTCTTGCAGGTAGAGGCTCCCAGGTTCGAATCTCCAGTTGTGGTTTTCGTTTTGCTGATCTAAAAAAAATTTGTATGAACATGGGCAGCGTCCATACACCACCCCCTGTTTCTTTTATCAGAATCTCGAGGCAACAGCTGCTCTCTCTAAAGGCTTTGCAACTAATTTGAAGTGGAGGTAGAAATATCAAAAGAACCAATTTGTCACGTAACACCCCGGTGAAAGTATGAGGTCACAATGTTGTCAACATATTCGGCAATGTTCAGCTTATTCTTGGTACGCCAGCGGCTACCTTGATGCACATCCGGGAAATTTTGAAACGCCTGCACAGTACTGCTTCCCTTCCAATTTGATAGGAGACTGTGACCATTCGGATTGTTCAGAAGTAGTCTTCATTCGTTGCTCTCATTGTGAAAATTGCCTATGTTTTAAACAGTTTGTCCTCCCCTTTCATCAATGCACATAGACGTTTAAAAACATAGAGTAATGAAACTTTTTTTGAAGGGATTTGCAGTTAAAAGAAGAAAGAGGTGATGTACAGACGATACGCGTGCTTATACAAATTTTTTGTAGACCAACAGAAAGAAACAGGGGGTGGTGTATGGACGCTGCCCATGTTCATACAAATTTTTTTTAGATCAGCAAAACGAAAACCACAACTGGAGATTCGAACCTGGGATCCTCTGCATGCAAGACCACCACACTAACCACTGCACCAGACGGTGCACGGGGTGTACTGCCCTTGATTGTGCTTGTATCGACTTCCGCCCCCTAAAAACCCTCATAACTCCTCGCCCAAAAAGCGCCGCAGATAAGGAAGGCAGATTTGAAATCAGCGTTCGAAGCCCCACAAGATGATACCCACCTCATTTTGAAAGGCCACTTCGACCCACCTTCCTTCCCTTGTTAGAGTTTATGTAACACCAGCCTATAATTCAATATGCTGTTTTTGTTCTTCAACTCGTTATATTAAAAGCATCGTTCCCCGGCCTCTTCAAATCTTATGGAAGAACACTTGCTGACGTGGCCATTTATGATGTATATGTATAAGTACACATCGTTAGATGCGCCTTTACAAAGCAGGTTCGAAATTTGTCTCATATCTGCAAAACGGCTATTTAGCTGGAGTTATGGTTTTTTTTTCAAGAAAAAAAAATGCATTATTATGAGGGTACAAAATCTTCAACGCAAATTTTATTGCTTTTTCTGCCTGCTAATGGATCACTCAATTTAGGCACGATAGTTTTCTGCCCAAGATTGTGCCGTAGCATCAAGCAGAAGTTAGACCGATACTGTGATTTCGAATGTAGGAATGCCCAAAGTTTCCTCATAAAAAAGTATGACTTTCTTCAGAAAATCGTTTCGCAGATAGCGAGGGCAGATTTGAAATCAGTCTCGAATGAATCTTGCGGTATAGATCCCATTCCGAATGGCCACGGTTACCAAGTATCCCTGCCTTGTTAGGTTAGCATGTAGCAATAAACTTTTGAATCGCCAATTTCAGCGAACGTATTGCATACCAATGACTTCGGCCCAATATAGCCGAGTGATAGACAACACTTTGATGCTTTTGTACACCCCAAGTTCAAAATTTTCAATATTTTATAAGCTACGGTCACATCCAGGGTTTAAGCAGACTTGTACGAATATCTCAGAACAATGGATGCGCTTTTCAACTACGCAGTACATTCATATCCTAGATCTTCATAAATTCTTCATGTTACTGTGCACCTTTCAAGGTAGCAAAAAGCTCGCTTTTGTCAAGGTGAACAGTGCCGAGTAGGTGGATTGGGCCGGCCCCGGAGCGGTGATTGGCTGCGCAGTTTGTCCACCTACCTTGGCGGCAAGGGCTGACTGGCTCCGGCAGCCAGCATTTCATAGGGCCGACGTGTCCCTTACTTTCTCTAAGCTGTCATGATGGCCATAAATGCGATATAAACGACGTACACAGAGAGGAGCTTTTGAGAACAGTTTTGGAATTAGCAATCCAGAACGGCCTTTGAAGAGCATGGGAGTTGAAGTCGCCACCCTGTCCAGCCATGGCCTATGAAGTAAATCTTCAGATAAATGCAAGGAAATGCAAGTTAGTAATGGATGCCCGCAAATTACTAGCATGCACTATTAGCTTGTATATACCTCGATATGTGGACGAACAAGGGAATGCTAGTAATCAAGTTTTCATTTAGAGAAGACTGAAATGGGTAGAACAAAACCCGAATTCAAATTCACCCTGACTTTTATTCTGCCGGAAATTATCTGCAGTTCTCTGTGGCCTGGCTTACATGTTCATCGACTCTCGACTGCGGTAAATGGTAATGGTAATGCGGTAAACGTGCTGGTGCATTTTTGTGAAGCGCTTCATTGGCAGTGAATGTTGTCTTTTATTCCAATATATTAGGTTGTCCCGAAAGTTTTGTCCGTTTTTCAACCTGTCATAAAAATACGTGGAACAAAGATAGAGAAACGTTCTAAGCACTACCCGACGCATCTTTTCCTCCTCTTTCTAATTGTCATAATCTTGTGCAGATTCTTTTGCCCATTGAGATAAAAGCCGAAATATCAAACCCATGGTTTTTACAATGCCCAAGTTTGACAATTTTTCACAATCTTCATTTTCAACTTTTGGAAGACCTTTGATAGCTTTCAGATAGAGTAAGCAAAGGGCAGTGCAATGCAATTATTCGGCATAGCTAGCTGGCTTTTCAATATTTTAAAGATAATTTTTTCAAAAGTTTTCACTTTTGCGAAGTTCTAAAATACAGAAACGCCTCGAACACTAACAAGACATCGGATTTTGAAGCTTCCAAAAACCGATTACGATTATTCACTATTTTTACGAAGCAAATGAGCGTTTACCCCTTCGAAATATAAGATTTTGCATTTTACGTGTACACGCTGGGGTGGGGTCAAATTCAAGAATTATGAAAATTTTATCGCCAAGGAGCCCGCAAATTGGAGAGAAAATACACTCACTGGAAAGAGGAGGAAAAGCTGCATCGAATAACACCTTAGTTGTGCGCCGTTTCATGATCTCTGGCTTTTGGCATCACCAAAAGTGGAATTTGATACCATCAGAAAAATAATTCTAAAAAATTTTCAAGGCTGGCTATAGATGCCGCAAAATTGTATTATATTGCACTTTGTTCGCTCTATCTAACTGTTGCCAAAGCTTTTCCGAAAGTCAAAAATAAGGGTTGTGAAAAATTGCCAAACTTGGACGTAGTAAAAACCATGGGTTCGAAATTTCAATGTTTATCTCAGTGAACAAATGATTAATCGGCATGGAGGCATGACAGTCAGAAAGAGAAGGAAAAGATGCGTCGGACAGTACTTAGAGCGTTTCCCTATCTTCGTTCCACGCGTTTTTATGATAGGTTGAAAAAACGGACAAAACTTTCGGGACAACCTAATATATTTTGAGCCTATTCAGACCTAAGATATATCCATCATGCCTAAGAAAAAGCAGTTTATGGAAAGTACGTGTAGTTTCTTTTGTGTAGTTTTTTTTGAAAACGGAGAATAGATCTTGATCCGGCGGTTTTAGTTGTTTTAGGCCCTAGAAGTGTTATTATTTTAGTAAGCCATTTTAAGTAAGTCGCCTTATTTGGTAAGAGATCAAATGTGTTCAGCGACTATTTTTAAGGCACTTATAAAACACAGTGCCGCTGATTAAGCCTTCATACACCATATCTATTGGAGTCTGGTAAATATAAGGTGAAAGAATGCCCGTGTATTTTCGTCGTGGATGTTCGAGATAATTTTCTCTGTCGAACTGATTTTCTTGTATATAGTTTGGACTGCAATCTTTATTTAGATCTTCGCTAAATTTCTTACCAAAAAATGAAGAAAAAAAATAAAGGAATCAATCAGCTTATAGCAAAACACACGCCAAATCTCCTATCGCGCTCTCTTTGTTCCCGTCTCCCTCTCCGTCCTCGTAGTAGAACACGCCCTTTGAGAGATAATAGAATGCACAGCCGACACTTTTTGCACCTTTGACCTGTAATTGTTTCTTCATTTATAACGTATTGGTCGCTTAAAGCTGTGGCTTGCAGATTGCATAAGATTACGGAAATGTAACGAAGCGATCACATGTGAAAAAATCAGCATTCACAATTACATAAAATTGATCATGCTATAGGCTTTCATACACCTTAAAGCATAACAATTTCTTGTGGGCGAAGTCGCAATGACGCCTTTGAAACTTGGCCTAATTTAGGTAATACCAAAATGCTCACTTGTTTGGGCGCTACTAAGGGCGCTTAATCGTTTGCAAAATTGCGTGAATGTGATCGACATTCGGTTGAGCTAACACATGAAAATATGTTTGCTAAAGTGTAAAGCTATTTTGCATTTTCAGAAGGAAAGCAGATTTGTAGTGTGAACTGGAATTTTAAAATATCAGTAAGAACCTCCGCAGCAAAACTGTAAGCCTCATTCTTAATGGCGAGACGATTTGAGAAATCAAAGATTCTAAGTTTGTGTGCATCTTCTTTGTCACGAGGGGTAATGCAGCAGTTTGAACGATATGAGTAATTTCTCAAAATAAATACGCAAGAATAAAGTGTACGAAATTTGCCTCTTACCTTTGCTTCTTCAATCGCCGCGTTCAATTCTTCTTCACCACCATCATCTCCATCTTTGTTCCAGTAATTTTTTACATTATTCACGATTTCCTCCGGCGATTCAACTTTTCTTAATTAGCTTGCATACTTCAGATAGTGTTTTGAGAAGAGAAAACAGGTACTTACCCATTCCAGATGCCGTACAGTAGCGTTGCACTTCCAAGGTATTCTTCTTTACATTCGGCAGCGGGATTTTCAAAGGATAGCTCATGGCCTACAGGCTGCCACGTACATTTCAGGTATTTCTTGACCTTATCCTCCAAGTTAACTTTGTACTAGAATGACTCGCATTGCGTCCTTATATTACAGAAGTATACTACTATCACTGTCGAATTTGGGGTAAGTTAGATCGACTCAAGACTCAAGACTAAAAATATGAACTGACTTCAACCCCTTTCAAAGATCCGTCACTATGTGTCCTCAAGTAGTTCTCCACGAGTCTCCCTGGCTCAAGGCCAAGACCAGTAGGGGTCTCGGTCTCCACGACAACATCAACATCGCATACGACGGTAAGCACGAACTGCAACCACCTTCACGAATTTAAGGAGGAATTGCTTGTTTAAAGCACATCTTACCGCAAAAAAGACACAAAGTCCGAACATGTTCTCAGCTGTTCAGGTTCAGGTACAAGAGCTTTTATAGCATTGGTAAGACTCCACAATGTATCACTGCAATGAATTTCAAGTACACAATGATGTATTGTTAGACATCTAATTGCTGGCATTCGTTCAAAGCGTTCAAAATTGTTAGAGTTTCCTCATTAAACTTCATCCGACCCAAAATAAAACTTTTCAAAAAGTGCAGCATTTTGTGCGGTACCGTTGTACTTTCGTAAATGACAGAGTTGATTGCGAAAGCTTTGGAGTTTGAGGGTGTTATGAGCCTGGAATTCTTATTGACTCTTTGAGTGATCACTCCTTTTTCCTGTGAAAAAGTTGGAGATGCCTAATTATTCACAATCTTCAAAGAAGCAGGTATTAAGATAATCTCTCTCTCTTCTTGAGATAAAGTCGTACCTCTGCTAACGGAAGCACTTCCAAAAAACGCATTCGTGTATATGAAGCTCAGAAGATGCAGGTGCAACCGGCATGCCTGGAAAATGGTGTAGAAGGTCTGACATTATGCAGAAAGTTTTAAGGCAAAGTTTACTGTTGAGCCAACATGAGATAGTAACGGTATTAACTACGTTCATAACAGTCTCTCTGCACTAGGATGTTAGCTGTTTGCACAACTCAGTTTTCAAAGTAAATTTTACCGTTTTCTTTTCAGATGCAGAAATTTCGTGCTTATAACCAAGAAAGCGAACTCCCATTGTTTCATAAGCTAATCCGCAATCTGGAGCAAAGCGGTTTCAAATCCTAGACAAACACAGTCTGAACCATTTCCATCAAGATGTTTGCAGGAGCAGCTTAACGTATGAAAAGGTAGAATTTACGATTTTAGCCTATCTGTACATCGTGAGATCATTTCTGATGAATGAACAGAAGTCCTTGTATTCCATCTGAATTAGAACCTAAGTGTAATCCACTTTCACTCTTGAGTTTGGTGGACTTTTTTTTACGAGGGATCACAATTAAAAACGTAACTGAAGTCTGAAGTCTGCAAAGCAACGCCAGTAAGACAATTATAAGTAATAGTTGGAAATCTCTATACTTGATCAGGAAAATACACATTGAATTGCATTTTGTCAATTGTCACATTTTCTTCAATGTTCTCAGCCCATCATAGCTCTATCATGGAGAACACCAGTCAAGCTTCGCAAAAGGCTAAAATGTAGCAAACTTCTTAGCCTTATACAAGGGAAGGATACTTGGTGACCGTGGCCTTTTGCAATGAGATGTGTACTAGTAGATGCGCCTTGGAATGATTCCAAATCTTTGTTCATTATCTGCTGTGCTACTCTCTCAACGAAGTTATGGACTTTTTTCCAATTCATTTCATGAGATCTAGGCAGTTAGAATCGTCAGTATTCAGGGTTTTAGACCAAGAGTTTAATGTAAGGCTTTGTTTCATTTTGACGCTCTTTTGTAGTGTAAATGACCATATGAACAATTTTGGTAAATCAAATCCCATCATCGAAGCAGTGCAAATTGTGGCAAGAAATCTTCATAACTTCTCTCGGAAGAGCGAAGACAGACTTGGGATCAACGCTTCAAAATGCCTTCAATGGTGTACGTTTCATTTCAAAGACGGTCACCAAGCATCTTCTCCATGTTAGACATTCGGAAAAGTCGCAGTTTTGCCTTGAAAAAATTCCACATTCTCCACAATGAATTGTTTTTGCAACCCTCTCACTTTTCTACTCGCTATGCGTCACATTAGAAGGATCGTTATAGATCGTCCTAATGTGACGATATCCTAGAAGTGAGCATAAGTTCAGCAACATTTACCACCACTATTCGTATCCCCGATGTTCGAATTTGCATCTTGTATGAATAAAAGTCTGCCCATAACATTGCAGTGTACATTGACGTAGTTCAATCACTGCAGATTGTGTGTAGGGCTTTGATAATTTTGACCTTTGACTTTGACATTTTGATCTGTGCTTGTTGTATCATGTAAGTTCAAAATGCTTTTTGATTTCATTGGGAGTTTTGTGACATTGTGGATATGCCAAGCTCAAGGTTGGGTCCACTTGCGAAATAACATCATAAATCTTCTTCGGTACATTTACAGCTATGCAATGGCAAGTCGAGCAACAATTGCAAGACAGTAGTGTAGCAATGCAAATATGGCATGCAAAGGGACAAACTTCATTCGATTCACTTCAGCGATATCAATTTCTGTACGGTGATATGACTGTGTGCGGCAAGGGTGAATTTAGTCATTTGGGTGATTCCTTGTTTCTACCCTCCACGAAAGCTCTGTTACCTCTTCGTGCCAAGCGATCAACAGTCCGATTTTTTCAAACTTTTTTAAAATTTCGAAAAGGGAGATCTAGTGGGAGTGTATTTTTAGATCAATTTTTGGACCCATGATTTTTCTACGTTCGGATTATAAAGGTTAATTGACTATTGGCTATTTTTGAATAGTGTATCCATTTCGCGAAATTAGCCCTTTGGTTGATGAACGACAGAGTACAGCTTTTTGCCTCGCGCGATTGCGTGGGGCAGAGTATTGAAAATATTATATTTTCAGCTCAGGAGAGAGGCCAACCCTTGCGGAAAAGGTTTATTCAAGTTGTTCCCATAAGCAAACGCCTTTACTCAATAAACCAAACTGTTTTCGTGTTCCTAGCAGAATGAGTGCTATTCCATAGGGTGAAGCAGTCTCTACTCAATAGCCGAAAGTCCCAAAATTGAAAAAGAAACCCAAATTTCTCAACTACCCTAGAAATTGGATCTCCTTCCAGATCCCTCCAAACTCCATCTTGTTTACCATACCATAGGCACATAGTACTACTCATGATTATACAATATTACTGATGTACTACTGAATAGTACTACATAGTACTACTCACAATTACATTACTGAATTTTTTTTCGCTCAAGATTAAGACACAAAAATAGCCCAAAAGTGCAATATTACCATTTTTTCGGTTTTGTATGGTAAGCAAGGTAGTTCTCAATTATAAGAGCACACACTGGACTATAGATCCAGGTTTGTATATGCTAAGGCTTGCATTGCACAGCCACATATGTGGGAGGATCTGGGGGCTGAGCTTGCCTTTTTTGGACTTCTTTTTTATGGCGTTTGCTTCCCTCCATCAAGCATCGCCCTAAGTCTGCTAGAAAAACAAAAACGGTTAGATATTCAGGAAAGAGATTTACATTTGGTACAGCCTAATATATTCGGCGAAGTTTGCACTGTTTCAGTTTGCATTTTATGATACAAGAAAATGCTCACTTCACTAAGGCCGCTTTTTCGTTTCATCTTTTCAAACTGAAGAGCAGCGAGTAAAACTATTGTATTTTCAACTGGTGAAAAACAAAGTACTACTCAAATGTCTGTCTTCATAAAATCACACGAATGAGATATTAGTTTCCACTATTTATCGATTATAATTTACCGGGCGGAGTTGATTTTTTTTTCGCAAAATGCAGCATATCTCCTACAAGTGCAACAGTTTTCTCTAAAATGGTTTGCTTCAGCGTCTTCTGCTCATCTTATGACGTTCCTCTACCAGCCATCTAAAAATTAGTTCAATTGAAAATTTTATTGCCTTATTATCTCGGCAGCTATATTTACTGCACCAGTAGCTTCCTTCCTTTATATCTATAGCGGAGTGGATTTACATAGACAAAATCCAGAGAGTACTAAAAGAAAATCAATGCGCTTGCACAAGCGACGTACTCATACATCTGCCTTGCTGGGTATTTATCTCGTACAGGTAGGAGTTTCAGCTTTCGCAAGAGGTTCGGCACAAATTCGAAAGGAAGCTGTACTGAACGAGCATTTTCTCTATGAGAAAAATCAACAGTTTCTATACAAACAACCTTTTTCAGGTTTTCTAAATCAGCTGCAAGAGTTTTCGGACAGTTGAACAGTCTGCATTTTACATGATATCAAGAGCATACCTTGGGCACAAAATTGAACACTTTGATAAGGAACAAGCCAGCAAGCGGAAAAATATTATGATAGCATTCCTTGAGTTGTAATGACAGTATAATATATGACTCATATATTTACCTGCGTTCAACGAGTGCAGAACTGTGTCCTAGGAGAACGAAGTCAATAGCAAGTTACTCGATTCTGTACAAGAGTCAACGGAAGCTCTCCTATGCATTACATACTGCATCAAATAGCTTGAAATCCTTCCAGTAATAGCTCCCAGTTTTCACGGCGTTTCTTTCCAGACAGTGTGATAAATAATCTTGTCAGGTCTTGCAGCACACCAAAGTGCACAAACTGTAGTGAAGCCATACTACTAAATTTGAAGGGGGTCGAAAGTGCAGAATCTTTGAATATTTGGCTTGAAAGCTTACACTTACCTGGTAAATAATTTTCTTCAACTTGAATCCATTTTTGGCTGTCGTCCACATCAGATTGTGCCCATGTATCGCCATGGACAAACACCTCCTTCATATCTGCAAGCAAAAATTTTAATACAAGGAAAGTCCTGCTCTGAATTAATGGAAGAATATTAGCATCATCATTCAAATACAGGAATTGATATAAATCAAACATTTATTCTACGTAGTCCAAATTTTCTTCTTGTAAGACAAGTTTTTTACGTGTTTTGAATACTTCTCCGTTTTTATCTCGATTCTTCCAGGGGAGTAGATTTATTGAAGTGTGCAAAATCCCTTATCGAGATCGGCTTCTTTACTTTTTCCTAAACAATGTCTTTTGTGACCGAAATCAAATCTTGGCAAAGTATTCAACCGTCAATTTTTGAAGCAAATTGAAAACTCCTATCCTTTATTGGGGTGTTGCAGATCTGGATAAGGATGAAGAAAAAATTCCTCTGCTGAACTCTTCGCTCAATGTGCTTGTCAACTCACGGACGAACAGCTCTTCAGTCATCTTCATTAACTCCTTACCGAAAGGCTTTAGTGAATCTGACTCAGCAGGTATTTCTCGTAACCACTTGGTTACAGCCTGAATATTTTATAATAAATTCTTGATGACACGTTATTCTTTATATCCAATATCCAATATT